GGGAGCGCGGACACGGCTCCTTGTGCCCGGGGCTGGCTGGCAGAGGGGTGGAGGCGAACCTGCCCGTGCCAGCCCTCTCAGCACAACAGGGTCATCGCCTCTCCCCTGGGATATGGGGGGAAACCCGCGTTCCTTTGTTTTGAAACAAATCGCTAGTCCAGCGAGTTCAACCCCAAAAGCAACTTTAGATGCCGCTGAGGTGCTGGAAACAGGAAACATTCATTTGCAGAATATTTTGCAAATCTACATCAATAAAACAAGCACAAATACTACGTGCACAGAGCAAAGACAAGAAGGGGAGTTTCTCTTACAGCACACAGATTTAACACCGGTACAGCTCTGTCCCCTGCAGGTCCTGCCTGCCCAGTCATTTGCCATGTGAACTCGGTTTGGGAGAGGCATGTGGCAATGCCATGTCTGCTTTTACCTGTCCTCCTCCTCGTGTGAACCACAGAGGTTCCTTTTGCTGCATCAGCCCCTCGGGTCACCCCTGAGCCTGCCAGCCCGGGCAGGGGGTGCTTGGTGCTCCCTGCGGGCACTAACAGCCCTCCTTGGGGGACTGCTTGGCCTGCAGGGTCACTGCCGAGGCACTCGCCCTCTTCTGGTGTCGCCACTTCGCCCGACGATTTTTAAACCAAACCTGGAAAGCGCAGAACAGGAAAAGGGCTCTTGCATGTCAGGTGTTACTGGGAGGGCGACAGGCAGTGGCCCTCCTGGGCTGTAAGGTACTGTGATGGAAAGGCTTGATACAAAATGTAATCAGTGCCTCTCCTGCTGCCTTGCTTAGGTACATGTGAGGGGCACAAGGGAGCTGGCACTAGTTCAGAAGTCAGGCAGATCACTTAGGTAAGGGATACACCCTTGGGTGCAGGGGATGAGCAGCAGAGCTGGGCATGTCTGTGGGTAATTCTGGGAGAGAGGCATCGTGTGTGTGTGGGACTGGGTGCCAGTACAAACTAGCCCAGCTGAAATGGTTTATGTTCTTCCATTGCTCACCAACCTTAAACTCTCTTTTGTCAAACACACAAGGATGGATGCTAAAACAAGGCCGTGGGTCTGCAGCTCCCCAAAAAAAGACAGCACATTGCCCCAGTGTGTGCTCCTGGGGGGCTGCAGGAACACACGAGCTCTGCCCTCAGCAGGATCTCACCTCCACGCGCTCCTCCTTGAGGTGGATGCGGTTTGCCAGGTGCTCGCGGGTCACCACGTCCGGGTACTGGTTCTGGTGGAACAGCGTCTCCAGCGCCTGCAGCTGCTCCTCGCTGAAGATGGTGCGGTGCCGGCGCGTGCGGCGCTGCAGCTGCTGCTGCAGGCCCTGCAGCTCTGCCTTCTCCTGGGAGCTCCTGCACGCCCTGAGCGCCGGCTGCAGGAGCCGCATGGGCCAGGGCAGCCGCGCATCTGCCAGGGGACAGGGACAGCAGCGGGGTTACAGGGATGGGGCTCAAACACTCGCCATGCTCAAGGCAGCTCAGGCATCAGCTGTATCCCTGCTGCTGTTTGGAAGGTGGCAGCCAGGCACCTGGAGTGGGTGCCAAGCTGAGTGGTCACTGTGCAAGTGGGAGAAGAGCGTAGGGCATGACTCTGGGAGAAGGATGCAGGGGGTGAGCACTGGCTGGGTTTTCTTTGTTCGCTTACCAGTTGCACTATGGCCAGCTCCAGAAAATAAGTGCAAACTCACAGACCAGCAAAGATCTGTGTTTCAGCCCTGGCACAAGGGAATTCTGAACTTTCAGGATGCTCTCGAACTGCATTTTTAAGGGTTTGCTACTTTTTATTTTCCACAGTAATTTTGCTAGACATAGCCAAAACTCTTTTCCTTAAAGGATGGGTGAGGTTCCCCAGGGTTGGTGATGTCAGGAAGCACAAGCACAGCTGTGCACGTGGGCAGCCCTGGTAGCATTTCAGGTGAAAGTTGCACTCTCAGGAGCCCTGCTAGGAACAGCTCAGATTGCTGGGCATCGGCCCCAAGACCACTGTGCCAGGTGCCACATTGCCATTAACAGCCAGGTTTTCCCCTGCCCCCAGCACTGGCACCAGCCCTTCAGGGAGCCCCACACCTGAACCAAACCCAAACTGACCAAACCCAGCACTCACCCAGCCCAGCACTCACCCAACCCAGCACTCACCCAACCCAACACTCACCCAACCCAACACTCACCCAGCCCAGCACTCACCAAACCCAGCCCTCACCAAACCCAACACTCACCCAACCCAACACTCACCCAGCCCAGCACTCACCCAACCCAGCACTCACCAAACCCAACACTCACCCAACCCAGCACTCACCCAGCCCAGCACTCACCCAGCCCAGCACTCACCCAGCCACGCCGGCAGCTCCTGCAGGGAACGGGCACTCGTGTGAGAACAGCAGCAGCAGCTGCAGCGTGCCCCTTCCAGCTCTTCCTCCTCTTCCTCCTCCTCCTCCTCCTGCAGGGAGCTGGCTGGGATGGTCTCCAGCTCGCAGGGCCTCTGGGGTGTGCAGCCCAGGATGCTCCGTAGGCACAGGGGCACCAAGACCTGGGGGCTCTTCTCCGGGGGGCTGGAGAGGATGTGCTCGATGCTGAACGGACGTGGCTTCTTCAGGCCTCTCCTGGCAGCCTCAGCCCCTGGCACTGGCTCTGCAGACATCCTGGGCAAGCAGGCAGTCCAGCTGGGGGCTTTGCTCTCCCTTCACTGCCTCCCTAGCGGGGTTTTGCTAGGGAAAGGACAGCTCATGTGGCTTTTGAAATGGACTGGCAAAGCCATCCAGAACCATGGCTTTGTCTTGGCATTTCAAGTGACTGTCATTCTTGAAGCTGAGTTTTTATTTTATACGCACACACACTCTTTTCCTCCCTCTGACCTAGCTGTGTTATGACTGAAGCCACTCTAAATATATATATATAGTGAGAGAGATATAATCCCTTTGGAAAGAAAACCGTAAACCCCCCTGCAAGTAAAATAAATTCTAACTAATCTTGGCAGCTTTGTGAAGGGTTAGTGTGGATCTAAGATTTAGCTAATCCTACAAAAATGACTGGAGAAGGAAATCTGATTTCTCCATCTCGGGTGTAGATTTGAGGTGGTTATGATCTCCATTGTGCTGCAGCTCCCATCCAAGGAAGGGGGAGGATGGCTGTTCCCAGCCCGGAAATGGACCAGAGGATTAACTCCTTAAAAGAAGCAAATTATCCCTTTCTCTGGTCAAATGAAAGCTTTCCCATCAAAAGAGAGCTGTCATATCATACAATATGAGAGAAGAGAGAGTTCAGCTTAATAAAAAATCATTTTTAATGACAGCACAGCCTTTGGCTTTGCCAGAATTCTCTGTGAAAGTTGATTTATTTTCTGCTGAAAGCAGAGAAATTGTATTTTCCCTCCTTCCCCTTTCCCCATCTCTGCTGCCCTAATCACTGTAATAATGCAGATGCTTTGCATGTATCCAACATACTCTTTGTAAGGATTCAAAGCTCTTAATAAATTAGATTACAAACTGCTTGCAGCAGCTCTACACCACAGTTTAGTGGCATGGAACCATCTCCCAGAGCAGCCATGCTCTGTGTGGGGAAGGGAAGGGGAGGATTGTTGCTGCTGGTGCCTCTGTGTGCTCTCAGTGATGTCCCACAGCCATCCAGGCAGGAGTGTGGACTCAGTACCACAGCCAACTTTCCCACAGCCAGTTCAATTCCCAGCTCCTGCCCAGACAAAGAAACTGGGGAGAGGCCATGGCCAAGATTCAGGAGGGGAAGGAAAGCCTGGCTCTGCCCCTCCCGAGGACAAACAGCAAGGCCTGGCAGCTGCGATCCACAGGAGGAGAGAGAACATCTTGGATGCTGTGTTTGTAACTGACTGAGTAGCTGGGAATAAAATAGAGAAGGTGTGGCTGAGATCAGGTTGCTTAGCAAAGTTGAAGCCCAAGCTCCCTCACCCTCAGTGCAGTTTAAGTCCAGTTAAGTGCAGTTTAATTTAAGGTGAGAAGCGAGGCCCTGGAGCTCACAGGGGTGCACTCACACCTGGTGCTTCCTTGCAGTCCCACCCATGGTACCCCAGGGACACACACGGCTGGGTGCTGTGAAACCACTGCACACCAAAGACCTGGACAGCCCAGCAATGCCTCCAGCACCCTGCAAAACCTACAGCCAGTCCCCAGGAGAGCCCCTCTCAGCTCCCTTCTCCCTCACCCCTGCTCACTGCCTGCCTTCCACACCTGCAGGCCCCTCGGTGCTGGGAAGAGATGCCCCATAGCTGTTCTGCTTGTGACTCACGTCACACCAAACTGCTGCTTTTCCTTCCATCCCTTTGCTTGCTTCTCCTTCAGCTGTTCCAATGGTGTAACTTGGGTTATAACTGAGCTCTGCAAATCTTTACCTTTTGGGACAAAGGCGCCTTTGTAGCTGCTCAGTCTGGACGTGTTCACTGTGCCCTGCCAAGGTCTCAGCACTCCAGAGAGGCACTGGGGATGCCCTCATTCCAGAGATCACTGAAACTGCTCCCAGCTTTTAGGCATGTACCCAAACACTGACACAAGGGGTGGATGTGAGGCCAGGTTCTCTGTGCTGGTCCAGAAGGGCCACAGGCTGGTGAGCTGGGATGTGCCATGGGCAGGGGCAGGATCTCACCAGCTCTGTTCAGATGCCTGAAGAGGATTAATTCTCCTTCCCCATCCTTAACAAAGGATGCCTTTCCCTGGGCATCCTGTCCCAGCCCTGCCTTCCCACCACACATGCACTTAGCCTATTAGGATCTCTGCTGATTGCTTTCTTTCATTCCTCCCATACCTTTCACTACAGAAAATGGACTGGTAATACTTCTTTTATCAAAGAATTATGGGATTTAGGACCCAGATTGTACAAAGAGACTTTTGATAGCTGCTGGTAATCAAATCCAATCGGCAGACACTTCTCTGTACCCTGTTACCAGAGGGGAATAAAGGAAAGGGATTTCTGATGTGCTGTTTACTGAGCCTCTGGGAGATAGGATCGCTGGGCTATTTCATATTAGAAAAGGAAAGGAAAATAAAACAAGAAAGAAAAAACATGCAGACAAGAGAAGACAATATAGATATAGATAAAAAGAAAAGAAACAGGTTCTTATAATTTTCTTATTGGTTAAGGAGATTCCAAAGCCATTATAGAGGATTAGCAATAAGGTTAATCTGCTTTAGCTGTTCACTTGTCAAAAGTGAATTTATAGGGTCTGAAAATCCTTCCTATGGTGAAACAAGAAAAAAATCCCCCTTTCCCTCCTCTGCCCCTCCCTCCTGCAGGCAGCACAAGGTGATGGGAGCATAGGAAACCCTACAGCATGCAGCACCCTCCTCTGCCTTGCCCGTGTGCTGGCACCTGTGGGAGCTCTCATTTGGCAGCACTTCTCCCCACTCCCTATCACCAGTGTGGAGTGGCTGTGATACTGAGGAAATGGAGCATCAGATCTGAGGGATGTAACCATTCTCCTGCACTCTGCCTTACCTGGGACAAATCCTGGGCTCTTTCACTCATTGGTATTGACGGCAGTCAGGGCAAACCCAGACCCCTGGCTGGATTTGGGCTTCCGGGCTGGTTTCTAAAGCAGAACAGAGATGGAGGCTGCTCACAAATGTTGCCAAAAACAACAGTCTGGAGGCTTTCCATCTCCAAAGGAAGTGCTCAGCCCGGGATCCACATCTCAGTGCCCTCCAGGCCACACAGTGGAGCCACTGGCGCATGCCAGCTGTGCTTTCCTGGGCTGCCCGTGCCACGACTCATCCTAGCCAAGGATGCACATCACTCACTCCAAACCACTGTGAGAAACATCCCAGGGTAAAAACAATCCTTCAAGATCAAAAACAAAAAGCATTTTCTGTGTAGCTGAAATTCAGTGGGATGTGCTAGTCAGGTGTTAAAACTATGTTTAATAAAAAACCAGAAGTCGTAAAATCATTGGATGGTTAGGATTGAAAGGGGCTTTTGAAGATGATCTTAAGATTGTGCCAATTAAAATTGTTCAACCCTGTGCCAGCAAAGATTAAGAGCTCAAATAAACTCATTTTGATTTGATGATAATTACAACAAACATGTCTCTCTCCCCAAAGGCCATTTTATTCCATGGAAGAAGTGGGATCTCTCCACTGGGTAGTAGTGTTATTAGTGGTACTGCTAGTGGATGGCGTCAGTGGTGGCGGCTGGCTGTCAGAGATGGTGTCCATGGTGGAGCACCTGGGGTGCCAAACCTCCTCCTCTGCATGAACCACGATGGGATCAGACAACTGCTTCACCCTGGAGCATTCCAGCTGGCATTTCAGAGATCCTACACCGCCTCGTGCTGACCAAATCCCTCTGTGCTCGGCAGGCAGCACCGGGGTTTCAGAAGTTCTGGGTTGTCTCGCTTTCCTCCGACTACGGAAACAGTTTGGGATGATGATGCCTCGTAACTCCTGCCTTGCAGCCGGCGCGGGTCCCGGCCGGGGTGAAGGAAGGAAGGAATGAGGGAAGCACCGCGAGTCCCGGCCGGTATGAAGGAATGAGCGAAGCACGGCGGGTCCCGGGCAGAGTGAGGGAAGGAAGGAAAGAGGGAAG